AGGTTTTGTGATTTCTATAAAAAGAAAGTACTTTCTTAGTGACAATTTATTGTGTAAACTGGCATATTTTTGTTAGTTTTTTGCAAAATGGCACATGTACCGATATTTAAGTTACCAAGCTTATACTTTTGTTACAATTTTAAAAAGTCGCTCCTGTAAAATTGGTAGTTTTTGATTTGATCCAGTAACAAAGCAAAGCAGTAATATGTGTTCTATATGTATGTAGCAAACTCGCAGAGACTAGTTCATTCAGATCAATCGGAGAATATCAACTTTGGAGAAAATTGGCTGAATGGTTTTGGCACTTGTGTTGACCATTGATGGGCAAACAGGTGGTGTGCCGTCAATCGATTTTTTGGTTTCGTGGACCCTCCAAACACATATTCTAGCTACACCCTGAGTTTACTATGTACAGGAACTTGATTATCTACTTTTCATTATCAGGGCTTGTCAATAAGAGTTTTTCTGTCAAAAATTAGCAGTTTTCAGGCGCACAATTATGTTTTCTCTTATGAAGTAAGAGCGAGGAAGTAAAACTAGAGCAGCCACCATTGCAGTAAATAATGATTAAACTCTCCCTGCCTACAGCTTTTTTAACTTTTTTGCATTTGACACTTTTTTTCATCGTCCCCTGAAAAATGTAATAAAGAGGTTTTATTGTAGTTACTTTCATATTAAGTGTGTGAAGTGGATTCACCTTGCTGATGCAATATGAACATGTTTTCTACAACTGTATAAAAAATATATTTGGAAAAAGTTTCTAATTTTAAATTGGAATGAGATATTTCACATCTATGGGAATAGCAGTGTATTACTCAGGTCTATGATTACAGAAATGTTAATAATGCATACGTGATAACTGAATGATTTTCCATGGCTGAAAAACTTTTTTTGTTGTAACGAGACAGTGTTCTTGGCAACAATCGTTTTTTAATTGATATTAAAAAATTACCTACTTTATGTATGGATAGCAATGCTCAAAATCTGCCTTTTTTGATACAGTTGTAGAAAATGTGTTTTTTAGACAGCTACTAGTAAAAGCAATACTGCCAGATCATGCATAGTGTGCTAAAGGTTCAATTTTTAGTGGTAGTGCCAAAAATGAGATGATGTTATAGGGTTTACAGAAATCTGTGAATACAACAAAGAAAACAAAATACTTCTGTGTGACAGCATCAGCTACAAATGACTAATGTATAATTGAGTGCTTTGTATACTTGAATTATAATAAAATTAAAGCCGGTAAGGCTGTCAAAAAAATAGTGTCTGACACACAAGGTACAAGTCATTTTATTTCGCTTACTCGCATGATTTTTCTACTTGCAAAATAAGATGTCACTTTTACTACTTGTTCATAAATAAGTATTATCACCATTGTGAAAACTTTCATCCAAGATCAACTAAGTTATACTGCGTTATAAGTGTGTATACTTTTCATGTTTGAGCATCAAACTAGCAATTATTTCAAATTTAACTGAGAAAATATAAAGAAATTGTGTTTGAAATACCTTAAAAAAGATAGCTGTGTTCAAAGTAAATATTTAGAGATGCTTAAAGTGTGTACTTATAAGAAAATTAAAATTTTGGCAAGAACTTACAAATTATTCACTTCAAATTGTTCTTAACAAAGGAATAAAATAGGCAAAAAGGGTAATCAAGGTAAATTAGGTTGTGTTTTTGTAATTGACTGCTTGTTTATGGATTTCAGGACCAGCCGGAACTGGGAAAACTGAATCTGTAAAAGCACTGGGTCATCAGTTGGGCCGATTTGTGTTGGTGTTCAATTGTGATGAGACTTTTGACTTCCAGGCTATGGGACGCATCTTCGTTGGTTTGTGTCAGGTATGAAATCAAAAGGTTAAATTTGTTTATTACTAATAATAAAGTAGTAACAATGGGTTATTTCATTGTAGGTACAGATAAATGTTACATAAAGCCCATTATATTATTTTTTGTTCCTTGCGCACTCTGGGTTTCTCAAGCGACTGGGTTTCTTTGAGCTGCTGTATTAAGGAAGAAAGTGATGAGCATAAATAATTGTGGAATTGGCATTCTTATGAATTACTGAACATGGCGAGCAGTAAATACTGATGGAATGCCTGTATGGACTTATAATTTACCGTATTAGATTTTGAAACAATATTCTGATTATGCAGATCAGCATAATTAATATTAAGTCTTACAAAAGTGTTGCCAGTACATAACCTCACATTTTGTTGAAAGAAAACCCCATTCAATTTGAATGTTAATGAATTTTTGACAATATTTTGAATATGACAATTTAATTTTTCTAAGATTTTTTTTTTTATTGCCTTATTTATGACATTAAAAGTAATGATACATAGTAGCACCATCAATGTGACAATTTCTTAAAGGAAAATAACTGATGGGACTATTCTGAAAGGTTCAATTAGTAACTTTGATCTTAATTTTGAGGTAAACAGAAGATGGAACAAAGGTGCAATAGTCTGATAAAAACTCGATTTATTTGATATGAAACCTGTAAATATTAATCACATCATGTATTTATATGAACAACTTTAATTGTTATTTCTTTATTATGAGTTATTTACCCAACAGAATTTGTTTGATTTTTGGTTTATTTTTGGGTCAAACTAAAATTTTTTAAAAAAATGTTGGCTAGAGGAAAGTCATATAAATTTATTTTTTAGTTTTATTTTATTGTATTATATTTCTTAGACAATAAGTGTCTGTTAACTCAAATGGGAGGGTAAATAAAACACTAGGAGTTTTATAAAAGTCTGGTAAATTTTTTATTGTAATGGAATTTTGTTGGAAACACTTCTTTGGATGTCATGTGATAAATGATGTAATTATTTGAGTGAATTGAATCTTCCCCACTGTGGACCCACCAATGACTGCTTTCTTTAGGTCGGAGCTTGGGGGTGCTTTGATGAATTTAATCGTTTGGAAGAGCGCATGCTCTCAGCAGTGTCTCAGCAAGTGCAGACCATCCAAGAAGCATTGAAGAGTGCACAGGATGGTAAGGAGGAAGGCAGTGAGTATCAGAAGATTTGTGGATTGTTTTTGGGTGGTGGACAGCACTAACATATCTTAAAATGTAACATATAGTAAGCTTGGGGTATTTTCTATCCCTGTTTTTTTCAACATAACCAGATATTTCTTGCTTGTCGTTTTTAATATTTTTGTATGTATTAGTTTTGGCCCTTGCCTTTGTGCTTGATTCTTTGTGTAGAAGACTTCATCAAATTTTTGGAGGTGTTACTGGAGTTAAATTCTGTAATTTAATGATGTGGTGGTGGTGGTGATTATTCTTCATAACATTCTCTTACCATCTGGCAGTGCAAAGTAAAGCAATTAAAAGAGCTCTTACCAACTAGCATGATTGGTCTTGGTGATTAGCAAACATTGCTTGCAAGCAATTAGTGTGCAGTCCACAAAAAAATGATTTAGATGGAGTCTGTGCTGGTGAAACCTCTTTTATGGACCTCCCCTCTCAAAGACAAATTTTCCTAGGGACCGATATTGAAACCCATGCAAATCATGCTAATGTTAACAGACCTCACTGACCACTTTAGTCCACGTGAGTCCCTTTATTTTCTTAGTTTACCCTTTTTAAAATACCATTTTCAGAAAAAATGCAAGAGTAAAGTAAACTGAATTTTCAGGAGATAAAATGGAAATTGGCCACATTGTAACATATTGATGCCACATGCCCTTAGAGTCTTGGTTTCATTTTCCAGGAAATTGAAGGATCCCCTCACCCTATGTCAATAAACTGGGGCCCCTGACGTGTCACAGCTGCTCACTCCACTCCACTCCACTTCAGTTTCCTTTCTTCTAATGTGGCAGTGGGTATGATAGGAAACTCACATTTATTTTTAACTAAGAAGAGATATAAATGTTTTAAAATGCATTTAAGAAGATAATAAATCAGTAAAAAAGACATTTACTTCAAAATAGTCAAATAAACCGTAGCCAAAATGTTTAATATTTAGTAATTCATTCACATATATTAAAAACTTTTCATAAATGTCTGATAAAATGGGCTAAACATACAATGCCTAGTAATTATAATTTTTTTTCTGAAATAAAAATTCTCTATCAAGCCACTGCCTTTCTAAAAGATCCCCTTTTTCAAGGAACCAATAATGGTTGCTTCATACAGGTGTCACTGTACCACATTTGCTAAATGTTGCTGTACTGATTAGTATAGAATTTTGTATTTAATTGAAATGAGCAAATCAACTGGAGCTTCCGTTATTGAAAATTTATTGTCTACTGCAATTGGAAGATATTAAGACCATTCCTTTGTACCTCTGACTCAATTTCTTTAGCCAATAATTAAAGCTTTGTGTATTAAGTATGTGATGAAGATCTTGTGGTAAATAAAATGCATGACATTCTCGGTTGTGAATTTTTTGGTTTCAATTAAACAATAAATTATTTATCCAAATATTATGATATTAAATCACATTGACATTAATCAGCCATTAAACAGTTAATGGTGATGCTCATTGAATTAAATGCTCTTCAAACAATGGAGTTCATTGCCTAGCATGTCTGTGTGCAATATTCAATCATTAATGTGTAGCAAAAGTATGTGCTGACATCCATTACTTTTTAATATTCATAAAAACATAGAGTGAGTGTTTTAATATCCTGTGTAAAAAAGAAATAATAGTACAATTGATTTATTGGCAAATTGCTTACATTGTTTTACTGTTGTCCACTGTGTGCTTTTGCTTGTGCTTGTGCTGAACCACTTCTAATCCACAAATGTTCTTAGTAACTCAAGCCTTAACTTAACTTGATGTGTTCTTTTACTCAACCTTCTTTTCTTTGCTTTACTCTTTCATTTATAACATTTTATTCATTCATTATTATTAATTATTCACAGAAATTAAATGTGGTGGTGGCATAAGCTTTTGTATGGATTTTAATTTTCATCTAGCAGTATGAATTCACTTTAAATCCTTAAAAATATTTTTTCTACGAATTTATATCTATTGAAGGTAATTTCCACTATGCTCTTCTCTTCACTCAAGAAATCTTGAAAAGGTGAACTACCTTGCTTTGTTAGAGTAGACTTTATTGTTTTTGACAAATAAAGTAATGAGTCGATATTTGTCTTAGGGCATATTGTAATCAGTGGAAAAGACAAATTATGGAAAAATGGAGCATTGGAAAACTTGTGCAGGATCTATAATGAAATTTGTGAATTGCATTTATCTTAATCATCAGGGGGAAGGGAAGTGATAGTGGTAAAGTGAGACAAAATGTAGGTTTGGAGAATGAAATTAGTGATAAACAAACGAGAGGAAGATGAGAGTGCAATAGTGAATTGAGGGCATGAAGAAATATAGGAAAGGCAGTGACTGTGCCTCATGAAACTGAAATATTATTACATTTAACGGGCATATCTTGCATGATCGAAAGAGACCAAAAGTGAAGAAGTATAAAGCAAAATATCATTACAGCTTGAATAATACTCCTCTTCCCAAAGATCATGAAACTTTAAAGTACGGAGAATGCAAGCAGAAGATTGATATGGAAGTTACCAAATGCAGAGTAAAATGAAGCACAGCTTTCTTGACAGTTGTATAAAGCTTATGGCAAATATCCTGAAAGCTTTCACTAAAACGACTACTCAATGCCATAAACCAAATAGACCTGAAAAGACAAGTTGCAGAATGGCAAAAGTACTTTGAGGCTTTAATCCTTTGACACCTTGGATGTGTTGACACAAAGAAAATGTCCATGCGTGAGGGCCTCTGGACATGTTAAGGGTGTGCATTCGGGCTGTCACTGGGAGTCTGGATGTATGAACATGCAAGGCCATTCTCCATCTTAAAATGCTTTCATGAGCGCCACTTAATTTCCGAGATGGTTTTAGAGATGTCTATGTTTGGTTCTGCCCACTAACTCGATATTTTGAGGCCGTTCTAGTATGCTGGTCTCACATTTGTGCACGCCTGTGCAATATTGCTATTATTCAAAACCCTAAAGGAAAACTATGATTCACATTTCATATCGTCTTTCATATTTAAGTCTACATGAGTTTTATTGTCGTTTGATTATAAGATAATAGTGAGATTGAAATTTTAAAAAAAAGGCTAATTTTTTTTATTTGTGCGAAATGTGACAATGTTGCAGGGTAGACATGCAGTGAATGTCATCCGACAACAATTCTGGTGCACTATAATTATATTTTGTTGAAGTTGAGAAGTAGTTCCATTTGCATATCTATTTATTTCTGCCTTTATTTTGAAATATTTTATGGTCAAAAAATGATGAAAAGCAGGCTAGTTCAGTTGAGTCTTCATTTACAGGAAATATAATTTTACTGGTTTTGTGAATCTCAAATCAAGATTGTTCTTCAAGGAAAACTCTTAAATATGAGAAGACTCCTCAATAGAATCACTCACACTTATCACTCTCGGTGATATCATTTTCATTGCTTACACTAGACAACAGTCCATAAAAGAAAATTCTCCTACTCAGAGGAATCCAGTTTCGATTAATTATTCAAAAACTCTTGAATTTTGATTGTTGAGATTCGCTGTGAATTCAATATCTAAATATGTTTAACATCTGTTCTATTATAAACATTTGGATATGTCTCTAACAGGACTGACACTGCTTATTAAGAAAGATATTCTAAATGTAGTTGACAAAGCCTGCGAGTGCAAATATCTAATTGCTTCCAGGAGAAAATTGCAAATACTTGCAACAAGTGAAAGCACATGTTAGTTATTGTTCTGCGATTATTTTAGTGATTGTAAGTGTATTCCAGGTGCCTAGGAATGTTTGAAAAACGTTTATAACCTGACCAAAAAAAAAAAAAAAAAAAAAAAAAAAAAAAAAAAAAAAAAAAAAAAAACAAAAAAGCAGAAGAATGTTTCAGATATGTCCTCCAGATCAAAAGTATTTAATAGTTAATGTGGTTAATAGCTATAAAATGATTTCTTAATTTTCTTTGTAATGAAAAATTTATTTAATTAAGCATTTAAATTAACAGTTGTAGTAACTTGAGGTTTTACAATTCATGTCAAAATAACTTTAATTTTGGTACTACATATAACCATTATTTCTATTAATTTCACCATTCATCAGATGGGTATGCATTTCGTATTAAATTCATACTGTGAGTTGAATATTAAGATTATTTTTGAGCTCATTATTATGACTAGTTATTCTAATGTTACACTATTATGCTTTTGTAATTCATGCTTGCAAACATAAATGAGATGTTTCTTTCCGTTGCACAATACATAAATTAATTAACAAACTGGATAAATTTACTTCCTCAGGCATCCATGTTGAATTGGTGGGCAAACAAGTCCGAGTCTCTCCAGACATGGCCATCTTCATTACTATGAATCCTGGCTATGCTGGTCGATCAAACCTGCCTGATAACTTGAAGAAACTCTTCCGGTCCTTGGCTATGACAAAGCCAGACCGGCAATTGATTGCTGAAGTGATGCTGTTCTCTCAAGGGTTCCGTTCTGCAGAAAAACTTGCCTGCAAAATTGTGCCTTTTTTCAAGTAAGTTTTTTATCTCCTTCAGTGAGTGTTCAATAATTGACATGTTATTAAATGTTATGTGGTGTGCTCACTTAGACAGGGCGACCAATCTCCATGTGAACAAATGACAGAAAATATACAGGGAATAAAAAGAGGAATGCTGTGTTATGTCAGATAAATTCATTTGATGTGAGACTACCAGGATGGAAAAAAGAACAATTTGTGTTGATGTGCAATTGGGTACACTCGGAGAGTAATGAGAGAAACTATTTTTAAAGTGGCATGTATAGTTACGTATGCAATACACATAATGCATAGATACCCACCTATTAGTTTTCTTGTAATTATTATGAATTCATTTCACAGTTATGACTGGGGTCCAGATTTCAAAGTAAATGCCTATTATCACCTGTAGACAGAAAGTATGCTCACTGGATATGAGCACATTTTCTACATATTACTATCCAATTATTTAAATATAATTTAATCATGTATCTTGCTTATTTTGCCTGTTTTCTTAACAAGAATAGCATTTCTTCAAATTTTTTTTTTTTTCACATATTTTATTTGAAAATGTTTAATATTTCTTATTTAGTTACTACAAATTTTATTGCATTAAATTTTTAATTTTGTGTTGTGTTTTTATGTATGTGGTTCATTGTAGCTAATACCAGTTTCCTGTATCTGAATTATGCGTGATATTTAACAGGAAAATTATGATTGTTTTGAGTACTTTGAGTTAGAAAGTCCATCATGAAAATGGGTAATGCTGATGAACTAACCCATGTGACTTGAACTTCCACTAGTCACAAAGATGCCTTACCCTACAAAAGAGTGAATGTGAAAAACAAAGAAACATCGCTTTTCATGGCTGAGGTGGCTTCTAAGAATTGTGGTCATTACGTCAGTTGTTTAAGTTGTTTAATGTATTTAGTGGCATTGTGAAAACTAATACTACCTTTTGAAATTTTCATTGTACAAAATCGCAAGAGTAAGGTGTCAGGTGAATATACTATGCGATAAAATTATGAGAAAGAGTGTTATGATGATAAACTTTTAAAATATGCACCAAGATATATTTTTGTTTTGAAAGTTCATACTGCATTCGTGTTTCATTGATTAGTAGTGCATGGAAGTCCAGTTCCTAGTTATTACACAACATTCAAGAATAAAGCTTTTATGATGGGGTTCTTTTCATTTAAAACCAATTTTTATGGAGAGAGATTCTCAAATTACGCTTGCAAAAACACAAATGAAGGAAAATTATTTGATTAAAAAAAAAAAATCAAATATACCTCCTGCATTGCCTTGCCTTTAGCGTGTTTTATATCTCTATCAATGTTGTAATTTCAACTCTCTTAAAGTTATCTACAAAATAGGAGTGTAAAACATCTTATTACAATTTGCATATCATACAATATTGTATCTGCTTTATAAAAATTCAAATAAACTATACCACTTTTTGTTTTATTTTGACTTTATTCTGAAGGAAGTGAGAGACTGATGTTGATAATAGTTCATTGGAGGCTGTGGATTATTAGAACATTTTTATTTTAATAATACATACAAAATGATTATATTTGTTAATAGTGGCCCATGGATTATTAGAACACTTGGTGTCCCTGATTACAAAACTGATCTCTGTTTTATACGTTTGGCTTTAGACAGTCAAAATGGGTAAAATAATACATGTACATGTTGAACAGTAATATTATTGTGAAATACACTATATCATTTTGTATTATTATTGAGAAAGTTAGAAGAAAATGATAGGAAAGCACAGAGAAAACCAACAGTGATTCTCTGGGTACTGAACCTTAACAGCACATTGTGACACTAGTTGAAACTTGTAAATTGTTCTCTTCAGCCATTGTGTTTTTGTCTTCGCAGGTTGTGCGATGAGCAGCTGTCCAATCAGTCACACTATGATTTTGGTTTGCGAGCTTTAAAGTCTGTGCTTGTATCAGCTGGTAATGTGAAGCGAGATCGCATTCAAAAGATCAAAGAAAACATGAGACTCCAAGGCAAGACTCAAATTGATGAAGCGTCTATTGCAGAAAATCTTCCAGAGCAGGAGGTACAGCTTTTTACTTTTTTTTTTCTTTACTTTTGGGACATATTTTTCAATGTGGCGACCATTGAGGGGAAACTATATTCACTGGTTGGAAGTTGTGTATGTTTTCTTAATTGCACGAATCTTAGAAAAGAATTATGAAAAAAAATGAACTATATAACTCATTCCCTTGGATTTGTGAATGGAATAAAGGTTTCCCTCTGAATTTTATTGCTGTTGAACAGTGTGGTTCATCTTACCTCCAAGTACATTTGTCAGCTCTTATATGTTGCTTACTTGATCTGACTGGAAGCTTGATTTTCAAATATTAGTGCCCTGGCAGCTCAGCACATTTGGTATTCGGCAAGTAGCAAGTGATTGCTTACCGAATCCCAAATAGTGGTGATGTGCTGCATTGCTATTTGCGAAGCAACGAACATTGGGTGCTTGCTCTACCTACCACATGTGGGTCTTGTGCACACGTCAAAGGAAGCAAACATTAGTCAAGCACAGCAGCTGCTCAGGATTGAGCGAGCAGTTTCTCACTACTCATAGAATACAGAGTGGGTGGAGCCGCCTTGATACTAATAAGAAAAATAAGAATGGTTTCACTTATTGCTAGTGAAGGCTTATGGACTTCTTTATGTTTAGGAAGAAATGTTTAATTGTGGAGTAGATGGTGTTTTGTAATTCAAGTGTACGAGTTTGATTATAATTTTGTTGCCTTCTACCTGTCTGGAAATTTGTTTTCTTCAAAGGTAATTGCAGAATTGGTTTTACTTACACTTTTGAATAAATTTATTTTGTGTTGTAGATCCTGATTCAGTCAGTGTGTGAGACGATGGTGCCCAAGCTTGTGGCTGAAGATATTCCGCTTTTATTTTCACTGCTGTCAGATGTGTTTCCTAATGTCAACTACACGAGAGCTGAAATGGCCGGTAATGATTTTTACTGTGAATGATTTTCTAATTGCAAAGACATTCAGAATTATTAAAGTTATTAGTTGTAAACTAAGTTGAATTCCACTTAATTAATTATTTTAAAAACAACATTTGATTTGGTGTTTGTTTGAAAACGTTTATCAAAATACTTGTCGTTTTACAGGTCTGAAGGAACAGATCAGAAAAGTATGCCAAGAAGAGTATTTAGTGTGTGGAGAAGGTGATGAACAAGGCAGTGCATGGATGGAGAAGGTGAGCAAGTGAAAAGCTGCTCTTTATGGCTTTCCATAACATAACTCCAGTGTCTCTTGGCCAACTTGATGTAATTAAGATGGCTGCTGTGAATGATGGGGTTGTTTAGTTGATTCACAATCATTTGTATAAATTGCTGATTTAATTTAGTGTAAAATGTAAATATTGTAAGCATATGTCAAAGTACAAAGGAAGGGCCACAAGAATTGTTCCAGCTTTTTACTTCTTTTATTGTTATTATAGCTGTTTGAGCTGTTAGTTTTATTTTATTTAGGTCGCTCCAATGTGTGAAGTTTTTCAAATCAAATGTATAATATGTAAAATAATCTTTATAAAAATAAGCATTTTTTCTTGAATTACATTGTACTTCCTCCTTAGATTTATTTTGAAAGCATAGTAAGGAGGAAGGAAGTTTTATTGAGTACAAGTTAGGAAGTATATGCAACGTTCTTTTTATTCCTATACTTTATGATAATTCTTGAAGTGCATGGAATATTATTGTGGTATGTATGACTATGTGGGGTATTAGTTGCAGCTTGCTTCTGAAGAAATTTAGCACTTCCATCTTCAGTTTGTAAGGATTCCACTTGAATAAGTTTCTTCATTGCTAGTGGGTTTGTTAGTTTTATTGTTTTTCATGATAACTAATTTGTGTTAAATGTGTTGGAACAATTAGTGGGGGTTATATTAATTGACTTCGAAGGATGTGCCTATGTGTAGGCAGGGTTGCCCATACTTTTGCTGCCATACTGCAACCCTGAGTAAGTCATTAATTTCTTAACTTGTGGATGCACATTACAGTTGCAAATGAATCGCACAAAATCTCGCCAGTGGTAAAGATTGCTGGCCGGCACCCTTTTTGCTTTCAGACAGATTTGTTTTGGTGCTGGTTGTGTGAAGTATGTAAATGAACTTTGTCCATTGTGTAGAGTTGAGTTAACAATTGATCGCTCTTGTGTGTTTCTCTCCTTCTGCCCTCCTCTCACCGTCAGGGAACAGTAGGCGAAACGTGGGTGGAGAAGGTGCGTAACAATTATCTCTCAACCCTTGCGGACCTCTTTTATCCTCCCCCCACTATTTTCTGCCTCAGTAAGCTGTTTTTTGATTTGCTGATTGATATGCTGGATTTTCAGGCTATGTGTGATATTTTGTTAATAAATTAAGATAAATTATTAGAAACGGTCATGACTAATGAAACTATGCTAAAAATTTGTCTGGTTATTTTTTATTAATGTGAAACCTATTAATTGGGGAATTTACAGGAACATTAATTTTTGAAGCTGAACTTCATAAAATTATTAGCAAAATAATTATCTGTAAAATATACAAAAATGAATTGCTGCTTCTAGTGTCTTAAAATATTCCCTGCTGCAAATCAAGGAAATACGAGATCACAAGATTTTTTTCTTTTTGCATCTGTCATGCAATGAATAAAATATTGCGTTACTGCGCTTCTGGAAAATAAATTTGCCAGCATGTTTCCCAGCATTTTTCTGTGACCTTTTTCTTAGACTCTCCACTTTAACTAACCATATTTGTTATGACAGCTGTCTTCATTACTTTGATGTCATCCTGATGTTGTGAAGGTGTATTGTGGTTGCTTAATCAAGTTGCTGGCTTTATAAAAATATGCAAATAAAACTGCTATGAGCCATTGTTTGATTTCAAAAGCCTTATAGTGGGACTGTTTTTTCAATTTCACTTGGAATTTGTTTGTCTCTTCAATTTAATTTTATGTTTATTCTTGTTGCAACAGAGTTAAGCTTCCTTTGATGTGTTGCTTTCTTGCACTTGCATAAGCTAATAATTATTTTGTGTGGGGAAAAAAAAAATCTATCACTTCAAGCTTGACAAGCTATTTTTATTCTTAAAACTGTAATGTACAGTCAAAAGTATTTTTTTTAAAGAAAGTATATATGCAACCAGAATGCATTTGTACCTTTTCACCTTGTCTTCTTTTCCAGCATGTGGTTTCTTCAGATGTTGACATCCTCTTAGGTGTGCTTTTCCCTCCGAGCTTTGCGCTGTTTTAATGTAATATGTAGTCTCTTGTAATGCTTGTGAAGTTTTCTCTTCATTAACTACCACATACTTTCCCTTGTTGTTGTGTCAGTGTTGTTTGTAGTCATAAAATGCTGCCTTAAATAGAAGAAAAACTCTTCATAAAACGGTATATTAGTAAATTTTCAAAGTATCAGTAATTTTTTTTAAGTGCCTATGAGATACAACAGTAATTCTGTGAGAAAAATAAAAACATATTTAAATACAATTTCTAATTATCAAATCTAAATCTAAATTTGCCCAAGACTTACATCATAGTTTTAAAATTGAAACAATTTTGAGAAAATAAAACTATTTGTCTTCTGGTAGCAAACATAATTTTGGGCACCATAATCATACTTAACTTTTAAGAGTATATTTTTTATAAAAAATTGTAATAATTAGTTTATTTCAATCATAACTGTAGTTTGCATTAGCTTTAAATTAAACTAAAAAAAATTGTTTGTATTTCAGCTGGTTAGTGGCATGTTGTAATTTTTAATATCAAAGCAAATGATTTTTAGGCAAATGTTATTTAAAGTGTGCTTGACTTACACAATGTTTCCTAAAGCAATACAGATTTGGAGTTGCAAACTTACATTTTTTTAATTTTCTATTAAAATATTATTTGTTTGTAAATATCACCAAACTAAGTTGTAAAATTTTTATTGAAATGGTTTGCAGTTTGGCGTACTTGAAGTGAAAAATCACAACCATTACAATAGCCTAGCGTATAGAGCTATTTCCCTTGATACAGTACGTTTCGTTTTTGGTTTGCTCATCAGGTGTTGCAGCTGTACCAGATCTGCAACTTGAACCACGGCTTAATGATGGTTGGCCCCAGTGGCTCAGGCAAGACCACTGCCTGGAAGGTGCTGCTTAAGGCCTTGGAACGGTTTGAAGGTATTGAAGGTGTAGCTCATGTCATTGATCCCAAAGCCATTTCAAAGGAAGCTCTGTATGGTGTGCTGGATCCCAACACGCGTGAATGGACTGATGGCCTCTTCACACACATCTTGAGGTAAGAATTGTGTGAAAATATCACTTACATGGCCATGAGCAATCACTCTTCACTAGTTCTTTACAAAAGATGATATTCTTTAATTCTAATGCAGATTTATGTTGTATTTATTGTGGAATTATTGGAACCAGTTATTGATTACACTATATTTATTCTTTTTAAAATATACACATTTCAAATCCTATATATTCAGATTGCTCTTCAGGTATATTTTCTATAAATTTAAAAAACCATGATTACACTTGGAATATTATATACAAAAGTTATTGAAAACAAAATCCTTGGTGAGATAGCTCACCATTAATTGTGGTATTATATCCAAATTATCAACAAAAGATGATGGAATACCAGAATTAATGGTAAGCTGAGTCAATAAGAATTGTATTTCAATAATTTTGTAAATAATATTCTAAGTGTTTTAACATTTATAGTAAATATATTTGAAAAATCTGAACTTAAAGGATTCGAAACATGTAAATTTTAAGAACAATAAATATAGCTGTTTAATAATTTATATTCTTTGATAGTGAACAAGAAATACGTGCTAAGAAGGGCCATTTGGGAGTTTCTGCCATATTGTCGAGGTCACGTACCGTCGAAGATTGACTTGCATCAGATAAATGCAATGGGCATTTCAGTATAATATTGAAAAGAAAAAATATAATTTCTGATGTTCATTTCTTAATATTCCCTTTTCAAGCTCATATTTATTATGATTTATTTATAATGATTATTATTAGTCTCTGTGTGGTTTAAATACAAAGCTCCACATTCAAAGTATGAATAACCTTTAATTTAATGAAAATACATTAGCATCAATCTTTCCTAGAGCATTTTGGAAAGTATGCTTTCAATAGGTGATAGGGAACAATTATCATGTGTTCCACAGATTGTGAAATGCTCATGATCCCTAAGGTCCGTTAAAAATACCTTCACGCTCTAAACACACACTTACCGAAAAGAAAACACTTCTAATCAATGTGCTCAAGATCCAATTTCAGAGCCAATGTGTTGCTGTAACAGTGACATCATACACAAACAGACAAATATTTCTGGTTCTGATCCATTGAGTACTTCTTGATAAAGAAAGCTGCTGCAAATTAGATGTGACTTCATATCTCATGTGATGGCACTGCACGTCAGTCACTTTCTGACCTCCATTCGTTTGTCACAATTGATGTGAAACAGTCATGATCAACACCTTATAATAAGAAGCAACACTTCTTTGCTGTTCACAATTTGGTAGAAAGAAACTATTATTGACAGAATGTCAGTATGTTAATATGTTTGGCTAGTACAGTATTTCAAACTAATACTGCTTCCAGAATCCCTAGGTTTTCTGTACTCTATCCTATTAATATTGGACTTTCATTTGTTGTGCAGAAAAATCATTGATAATGTGAGAGGAGAAATCAACAAGAGACAATGGATAATATTCGATGGAGATGTGGATCCTGAATGGGTAGAGAACCTAAACTCGGTATTGGATGACAATAAACTCCTAACACTGCCAAATGGTGAGCGCCTCTCCTTGCCACCTAACGTCAGAGTGATGTTTGAGGTAAGACTTTTCTTCAATAATTTTTTGTTATCCCTTCATCACTCAAAACTCAAAATGTTGATTAGGTCAGAGTTGTAATGCCCATGCAAGACCTTTAAGGTTTCCATCATGTCACTGCCTGTGCTTACATTGATGGGGCATTATGTTTGTATTAAACAGGTGTATCCCTAACGATGGTGGAATTGTCTAAACTTCAGCTTCCCAACCTATGAACATTGAATGAACTACTCATTAAAATGTAGACGGTGTATGTGTATGCAACTTAAATATAGATGTGCACATCTATTTGGTCCCCCAATGTTTTTATTCATTCTGGATCACTGAGGAAAATGCAGTTTCTGCAATATTTTTAGGCCGAATTGGCTGTCTGTGTTTATTTGTTTTCTCTGTGCATTGCATACTGTTGTGCAATTCACAAATCAATGCACCTTGCTTGCTCGTTCACAAAAAATGTGATGCAAAGACATGACATAAACAGTAAAGTAGAGACAGTACATCAAAGAATACTCAAAGTCCTTTCTCCTAATTCCCAAAGTAGGCCAAGTAGTTTGTCTTGGATGATTCAAATATCTGCAAAAACCAAATTTAATGGATTGTTGGTGTTTTTCTTCTAGGTGCAAGACCTGAAGTATGCTACGCTAGCTACAGTATCCCGTTGTGGAATGGTGTGGTTCTCTGAAGATGTTCTCTCGACAGAGATGATCTTTGAGAACTACATGTCACGCCTGCGCAACATTCCCTTGGAAGAGGCTGACGAAGATGCAGTTAGCTTTGGCTTGAAACCAGCTGGATCCGGGGAGGCTAAAGAAGACACCCTTTCTCCTGCCTTACAGGTAACACTGTTATTCAATGTTTAACTTGATTGTTAGGAAGGAAGCAATGGTAACTGAAATGTGTATTCTTGAATGAAATAGTCTGTTCTCTATCAATGAAGACACCATGGAATAGCAGAATAACTATTAAAATATTGGAAAAATTCACTAGATAGAGCTGTAGAATGAAACTAAATATTCATGTCAAATGCAACTTGCAACACAATTAGCAGGATTTTAAAAATGTCATTAAATAACTCCTAAACAAAACATTCTAGGGCTTAAAAAACTAAAATTTTGAAGTCAAAAGCTTCTAACAAACTTTTCTCACACTGTAATCTATAGGATGAGATCTTTTTGAACACACTATTACATTTTCGCTGAGATGGAGGGAGAGAGAAAGGGAGATGAAGGTCAGAACAATGTCTGCAAAGTTCTGCTAGTTCACAATAAATGTAATACCGTCTGACTATTTTCTCAAAACTGAAAAAAGTGCTTTGGTCTCTCAATGCTTTAATAATAATGATTTTTATTTGTGCTCTTTCAATATTTCTTTTGAATGATTGCTTGTTCAATAAAATAAATATTTGCAAAATGACTATTGTGTATGTTTTGAATTTGGTCTATTGTAGGTTCAGCATGAAGTTGCCAGTATTTTGCAGTCATACTTCTCGCCCGATGGGCTTGTGGTCCGGTGTCTGGAATTTGCTACTCGTCAGGAACACATAATGGATTTTACACGATTGCGAGCATTGTCCTCTCTGTTTTCCATGCTTAATCAAGGTGTTAGGTAAGTTTTTAATTTGATGGTATTTTCCATAATTTATTTCGCCAGTGTTCCTTTTCTTATTACCAATGTTATTCCTACATCAATATACTTGAGGTCTGGTGGTGAGGAAACTTTTGTACTATCGTGGTGGCTGTCCTGAAGTTTACTTTAGGTAAGCCAGTTGGTTGTTGTCGTGGAGCTCCCCTTCTGACTGACTCCTAAGTATTAAGTAGTGAAGTCACAAGCATTATTGGTGTTTTGAGAACACTGAATGGAGTAGTATATTGAGGAAGCTTTTTATCGTGGAAGAGAACAAAATATAGAGGTTTCAGAAGGTTCTGTTGCATTCCAGTTTAAGACCCCATCTCCACATGTCAATCCCACTTGCATTGTTGAGTTCCATCGTTGCTTTCTCAACTTACCCTGAGAACTTCCAACTTTTCCATTGTGCATACTGTTCTGTGTGCAGCTTTTTCTCATAGGTATAGGGTCTCCTAGGAGCAGGCCCTTTGTGTCAATAAATAAAGAAAATTGTGGATCGAAAATTTATTGTTGAAAGAGTAAGAGTAGCTTTTCGAGAGGGATTAACAGAAGTGCTGTTGTTCATTTTTACTGATACAGATTATGGCAAAAACAATAATTAGGAAAACTGACTGCAACCCTCAAACATGAGCCATTTGTGCCGGTGGCGTATAATTCACACAGCTCAAATGTGAGCAAGCCAGTGAACAAAGCTCAAGGTAGCAACGGGTGTCCAGATGAGAAGTATTGGCGAAGGATGATGAGCTTAAGGGAAATAAAAATTAGTGCCATGTTTTTTAAGGTTCCTATAGTATGTTGAAAAATAAAGGAATGTTGTAAAGTGTAAATAATTGAATTTGTAATTTTTCAATCGTTATTTGAATTATTGTATCTTACAGAAACATTCCTTTTTATGATTCTCATGATATTTAATACCATGTTCCCATTGTCTATATGAAGTGTATATTTGTATACTTGATTATATATTATCCATTGTGATTTTTGCTCATCAGAAATGTGCTGCAGTACAACCATACCCATGCAGACTTCCCTCTGCCAAGTGAGCAGCTAGAGAGGTACATTCCTAAAGTTCTTGTGTATGCCCTCCTGTGGAGTTTTGCTGGTGATGCCAAACTGAAAGTTCGTTCTGACTTGGGAGATTTCATTCGATCAGTGACCACAGTTTCTCTGCCACAAGCATCTAACATGCCCATCATTGACTATGAGGTGAGTCGCTAGCAATGAATGGATTAAGAATAATTTTAAAAAATTTGCAACATGATGAATTCATTTCATTCTTGAGGAAAGAGAAATTGGTGTTCATGTTTTCATAATTGTGTTGCATTTTATTCTTCTAAAAATGCTAATAATATATTAACGAAGAAATGTTACACCAAAAAATAAGATATGTTCTTATTGAAGTTTTTATTACTACTGAATAAGAAGATAATAAATAACCTGAATTATCTTTATCATCGTGATTACACAATAAAATTTCATTTATACATTTTTCAGCAGTTTGAAGGGAAAAAATGTAAAAGATTGTAATTATATGCATGTATTATTCTCAAAACAAAGCATTTTCTCATGTGTAAACAGACCCAACTTAGACCATGTGCTTTTCTCAGCAGCTAAAGTATAAATTTTCCTCTCAAATGTGACAACTGCCCCATAATAGGTAGTTAGGTGTTCTCAGTGTGATTTTGGTCTCGGTACCTAAAGTGAAGTGCTTATTACACACAAAGACAGAGATCGTCCTTTTATTTTATTTATTAATTTTTATGTCAAGATTGTAAATATTCCAATTTCTGCAGCCGAAGGTACAAACTCAAGAATATTTAGCTAAATAGACATACTTAAATGAATGAGCAGAAAACATGTTGGCTAATTTATTAAACTAAGTATTCTGCATTAAATAAATTATTGGCTGTAATTGTTTGAAAAATAACTTACGTAAATTAAAAATTGGTATTGCTTTTTTAGTAAAATATTTCACCAAACTGGAGTTCAGAATTAGTACTTGCTAATATAAAAATTAGTCACCAATGTTCATCTGTTTATTCTTTGATGTGATTTCACATAAGTAGGTAATGCCAAATATAGATATTTCTGATCATATGATCTTAATTGAATGTATTCATCTCTTTAAACCTTTCATGCAGAGTAATGTTCTGTGCACATGGATATTGTAATTAAATATATAAATAAAATGTACCAAGTAAAACAAACATACACAAAAATTCAAAGCTTACTACGTGCAAAGAAACACAATGTAAGAACATTCTAATGGGAATTAGAAAACAACATATGAATATGTCCTAAAAATGAAGCCTCTTGTGAGATTTTGTCCAGGTTGTATGCCATTTTGGCCCCTGCTTGAGGCATATCTCAGGAAGTGTTTTGTATAACCTGTTCTCATCTGTAGGTGAATATCACTGGGGAGTGGTCTCCATGGTCCAACAAAGTGCCTCAAATCGAGGTGGAGACCCACAAAGTGGCTGCTCCAGATGTGGTGGTCCCCACACTTGATACCGTCAGGCATGAATCTCTGCTCTACACTTGGTTGGCCGAGCACAAACCTCTGGGTAAGAAGTTTTTGTAGCTGTAGAACTATTGTGCTTGCAAAATCATCTTTTTGTAATGTAATTTATGGTCATTAGTCCAGTAATGTATACAATATATCATTTTTATTTTCTTGGCCTTATGAATGTAAGAAGAGAGAGTATTGTAATTGTGCTGGAAAGCTGTGAATTTTCGACAGAACTCTCATTGTTGGGTTCTGGTAATGGAAAGGTAGATAAAGCCTGTTCCTATATATAGTAAATTACTTCATTTAACACTTGGTATATCCAGAATCCTTGTTTTATGAGTCCTTGACACCAAAAAATCAATTGATGGCAAAACATCTGACTCTACATACATCTGTCGTACATAGTCATGTATATCTACGATACGTGGTTGAGGAAATCTGGTTGTTCAGTGAGACAAATAGTTCAGTGCCAGATCTCACCATTCAGCGAGGAAAGCTCACTGCCATCTCCTGGGGAGAAAATGTACATTACACATTACATTAGAGGAGTTCTGACCTTAGCAGTCAATCATAGAGTTTCTGAAGGATAATTCTCAGGTGCACTAACCTAGCAGAGACAAAAACCTTTGTGAATGTGTGTTTTGTTGTGTTTAGTGTTGTGTGGACCACCTGGTTCGGGCAAGACCATGACCCTCTTCTCAGCCTTGAGGGCTCTGCCGGACATGGAAGTGGTGGGGCTCAACTTCTCCTCCGCAACAACACCGGAGCTGCTATTGAAAACCTTCGATCACTACTGCGAGTATCGCAAGACGCCCAATGGAGTGGTTCTAGCCCCTGTACAGGTGACAACATCTTTTAATATCAGCAAATACAATTATCTACTTCAAGAAGGATTAAAAAAAACATCGGTCAATTGTAGATAACTTTTTAGTATTTCATAAAGTATTTACATAGAGTATATCACTTTTGAGTATTTTCATAAAGAATCTACTGAATGTATATTATCTACTTGAGGTAAATTGGTTTTTGATGCAGTCTTTAAAAATGAGTCCTTAGATCATTGGTTTTGTTATCAGTCTTGAGCCCTTCTGTCCACCAGTTCTTTGCTGACTTAGATGACAGGAAAACTCTGAAATAGGAAAAACATATCTTGTGACTCTCCATCTCGAGTTTGTCAAAAATATTGTTGTTTTACTCTGCTTTACAGTTGGGAAAATGGTTGGTGCTGTTCTGTGATGAAATCAACCTGCCTGACATGGACCAATATGGCACGCAGAGAGTAATCTCTTTCCTGCGGCAGCTCGTGGAGCACAGAGGCTTCTACAGAGCATCTGACCAGGCGTGGGTGGCCCTGGAACGCATTCAGTTTGTTGGGGCCTGCAACCCTCCCACAGACCCTGGCCGAAAGCCTCTGTCACATCGCTTTCTGAGGCACGTGCCTGTTATCTACGTGGACTACCCTGGGGAGACCTCTCTCAAACAGGTGAGGCAATTTATGAGCTGGCTCATTTCCATCATAACTACTTCATTATTTGTATTTATGTATTTAAGAAAATCACAACAGTTTTACTGGTAGTATCCTGAGTCAGGGGCAGAGTAATGACTAGAGAATGAATTTTGATGACCTAAAACGTTGCCAAAAATGATCAATAAAATGCATTAAAAATGTCCATAAAATGTTTTTAAAATGCCTTAAAATCAAAGAAAAATGATGTAAAAAATTTGATCAAAATCTCTTGAGATGAAAAACTCAAGCTGTTGGGTATGTTACTGATGTAATCGAGGATTCTTCCTGTTGTTCAAGTGAACTCAGCTTGCAAACATTTGGTTTGGACGGTTCTTTAAAAGAAAATCTCTGCCTCCTTTATCGTGAAATAGACCGAACTGACAATTGCGCCGATAGGTGTCACAGGAACCTTTGATTACATAGTACTCGCAGCGGCTGACATTACAATATATGAGCGAAGAAATTGAATATGCTTCTCTGGAAAGTAATGGTGAATATTTATTGCACCTCGTAAATATTGTTAGAAGCAAGTACCATTAAAATGATATTAAAATTCATGAAATCAGAAAAAGTTCATTAAAAATGATGTGAGAAAGGTAATTAATGACTTATTAGTTGAAGTTGAAGGGAAAAAAAGACCTACAAAAATGGGTCATTTTGTTTTGTCTTAACATAAAATAAATTTCTCTTTTAAACAAAATTGTTCTAAAATGAAAAGAAAAAAATTGACATTTAAATAAAATCCGCCCCCTAGTGATGATAGTATTTGTAGCTTACAATAGTTTATATCAGTAGCTTGTACAAAAGAAAAGATACAGCATATTTATAAATAAAATTTAAAATTGAAGCAATAGTTTAAGAAATTAATTCAGAAGTACAATTTTTTTTTTACCTTTAGCACACTCACACGCGCACCACTGTATCCTCAGACCTTTCATGATCATTTTGCCAACATCACCACAATTGCACTGCTGCCACCACGGCATTATTACCATATTAATATTCTTTGATCCACTTTTCCAGATTTATGGTACCTTCAGCCGTGCAATGCTTCGCCTTATTCCACCTCTGCGAGGTTATGCTGAGCCATTAACCAATGCTATGGTTGAATTTTACCTGGCCTCTCAGGAAAAGTTCACTCAAGACATGCAGCCCCATTATGTATATTCCCCTCGAGAAATGACAAGATGGGTTCGTGGTATATGTGAGGCCATTCGGTAAGTGTTGTATTTTTGTAATTTGGTGGAAGAATATTCAAATCCTTTTTATAAAATGAAATAAAATACATTCCATTTTAATATTATAGTTTGATAAAAATTATTTTAATATTCTTGGATGTTACAAAAGAACTGGAATGAGTTTCATTCAACCAGCCCAATAATATCAGTATTACGGAAAAATTTGCACTAGACTGTCCAATGCAAATTTTTGTAGATTTGTGGCATCTAAAATGAATTTTCAATGTACTTTCTTGCTACAAGATTACAAACCAATTGCTAATAATTTGAAAAGATAATCTGTAGAATAAGAACGAATAGACTCTTAGCAAGCACAATACTTTATCTGGGCAAGCTCTTTTTGCAGGTGCGCAGTGTCCACCTGATACTGTGTTCTAGTTATTTATCGTTTCATATAAGCACAGCTTACGTTTTAATAACTTGCATCTTCAACACTTAAGACTTTCATTTTGATCAAGTGACCAACCGACCTCTTTTAGAACTGACGTATGTTCACTAAGCATTTTCAGTGCCCTTGACATTCTAAAAGCGAAGTAATGAAAGAATCCCCATAAGATAGCGTGTAACTATTACATCGGAATAACAGAAAACGTGCTGCTATAGATAAACAATTATCATCATTCTTCAGTTACACCAAATTCATGATGACCCACCATTGTTTTTTGCCAAACATCAACTAATGTGTTCAAAATTCTGCTTGCCTGAATGTTATTTTAAACTGAAATAAATATTTGCAATTTTGTTGAACGACCAAATTAAATGAAGGCAGACTTTGAAAGCAGGAAAACGAGAAATGAGCGACTCGCAAAAATCTTCTAATTCGGGGAATATAAGAGAACCAAGAGCTCAGGATATGTTATCTTTTTTCTTTCTTCATCTCCCTCTTCTTTTTTCTCTTTCTCTCTTTCTTTCTTTTTCTTCTTTTTTTCTCTTTCATTGTTCTTCTCTTTGTTGTAAAGTCAACTATTTATGGGTTATTGAAACAAGGCAATGAATTTTAATTTGACTGATTTCATGGTATATATATATATATATATATATATATATATATATATATATATATATATATATAAATAAGCAAAAATGTCAAAAATTATGGGAAATAATTATAAATGTAAACGGTGATTATTTGTGATGCTGTAGATAACTTGAATCTATCTTTTATAAAAGTTATTTTTCGATATATATGTAAAGTTATATATATTAATGTTAAAGAATTAAAATCGGTTCACGGGATTCGTCAATGTGGTTAGAGAAACAATTAGTTACGCAGTTTCGAAATATATAATTTCTTCTTCAGTGCTACAGTATAAATAATGAACAGTGAATGAGGACAGCACACATTACAATAAATTTATTGTTGAATAATTAAAACAAATAAAACAAAAAAGATATTTAAAATCTAAAATTATAAACTAGGATACATAAAAACACCAAACATATATATAGGAAGTACACATTACTAATAATCATACAGGTACCATCTCATTCCTACCCTGCATACCCAACTCCACATGGAGTTGCTGGAGCACGTGGGTCCATCGCAAGACAATTGTTAGTTGGGCTAAGGACAAAAGGTAAATGTATGAGCACTGGTTGAATTGAATGAACCTTGAGGTAGAAATTACGTATTTCGAAACATTGGTGTAATTAATTGTTTCTCTTACCCCAATTACCAATCTGTGAACCGATTTTAATTCTTTATTCTTCAATGGTCCTGGTTATACAATGGTATATTAATGTGTTTTATACACTTATCCATAAACTTGTATCAATTAATTACCCGTTTGTATCACTGAAGTTGAATGTAGTGGAGTAATATTTTATTCAGAACAGTAGCAAAAAAAACATTTGCAAGATCTTCACATCATTTTGCATCACCACTTTGCACATTGCTGTGAAGTATATTGGCTTTACTCTTGCAGTCCTTTGGAGACTTTGACCGTGGAGGGACTTGTTCGTCTGTGGGCTCATGAGGCTCTCCGCCTCTTCCAAGATCGATTGGTGGACGATACCGAACGTCGTTGGACGAATGACAACATTGATGTGGTTGCGTTGAAGCACTTCCCAGGAGTAGACAGAGAAGCTGCACTGAACAGACCCATCTTGTACAGCAATTGGTTGTCCAAGGATTACATGCCCGTTAAAAGAGAAGAGCTGCGAGAATATGTCAAAGCAAGACTTAAGGTAAATTAAAAAGAGTTTCCCTGCATTAGTCTTTTCATTTCCTGTAACTGTATTTGTTTATTTTTATTTATTAGTGATTTTTCACTCTTTAACGCATTGGTGTTGCACAATGGCTAGTTGTAAGATGCTGAGTCGGACGGAGTAGCTTGCTGAATGCGTGTTAGGTGTTAGGTTGCTTTGAAAGAAGAGGTTCTTTGTGCCCTGGTGAAAGGCAGTGAAGAAAGTGAACACGAATGCAATTCAGCTTTTAGAAGCATTGTTGTGCATTGAATGCGACTTTCATTACGTCTTTTCTAGCCCTACTTTCAATCAGCTCTCTGACAAGTTAGTCTATGCTTGTTTTAAATGTTACATTGTTATATATTTTTTGACATAGATATATCTTAAGAATGTTTCAAAATTAACAGTTTGAAAAGTTGAATGCTTGCGTTACACTTTTTCAACAGTGACAATGTAAAACTGAAATGAGGAAAATCAAATGAATTTTTGATTCATACTTCCTTTTCTTTTTTGGACATTTGACTAGAATTTACTCTGATATTGGAAATTGTTATTGAGTATTATCAATACAACACACACAAAATTTTTTCATGGAAAATATTTTCAAACTGTAGCAGAAATCTGTGATAAGAGATTTATCTCAGTATGAGAGAAATGTTAATTTTTTTACATTTAAATTAGCTTGGCCGTATAATACTGCAAAACTCGCAAAAAAATATTTTGGAAACATGGGTAAACGTGCAGACCAACAATAAAATCAGAAATTTAATCTCAGCATTTGGAACCAAAACTAATGAACTGCTAGGTAGCAACATAATGAAGCTCACAATCTTCTGAATTTCCTTGGGAGGGTGAACAAAACTCTTTCATCATTTGCAGAACCCACCTAGGCATATATCAGGACTCGTGGTTACGATCCCCATCACTGATCCTGATAAGAGATCATCTCTCTTGCAAAACTGATGCAGATGATAACTGAAATGTACCCCCCACACACCATACCTGCTGACTGGTGCACTATTCAAATAATATTTCTTCTCTACTTGATAGTTTGGCTGAGGAAAGGGGATTCCGTTACCCAATTAGAGACTTCAAATTCTACTGAAGTCGCAGCAGAGTTGCGTCACAGTAGAGATACTTATTGAGAGAGAAAAATGAAATCCTACAGTTGGAAGCAGCTATAAACTGAAGAGTGCCATTACTTCTTTGGTTATGCATTGTGTGTGTGGTTCTGTGTTGTCTACTATACTACTCTTATTGCAATTTGTTTCTTGCTGCTGTTATGATGTGATGCAAGAATGACCACACAACCACGTCTCTGTCGTCCGAGTGGCAATATTGCTCTACCCCACCCCAGCTGTCAAGTAGACAGAAATATTACTCTAACTATAGGGAACAAACTTTACCTAATAGATCCAAGTGCCAGGACCCTTATTGTGACAGCACAGAAGTTTGTGGCCTCTTAATTGGCCTTTAGCAGTCAAGGGTTCAATGGTTTGCTAGTTTTTGTAGAGATTTCAGTGACTTCAAATACTTTTTCTCCACAGTGATGTTACTGTAATTTTAAGTGTGAAATTTAATGTTACCAATACACTAATACTAGTAAACAGAAATTGTATTTTAGTTATGTAATTTTTTTTAACATGTTCTTTATATATCTTCCTTGTTTGCCTATCATTTATGATGTTTTTCAATATTTTCTCTTTGTCATTTGTAATCTGACATTTGTTTATTTAGTCCTTTTATTCTTATTCAGTACAACTTTTAGGTAAAATTTTTGTGCCAAAATGATTCAATCGCTCGAAAACATTTTGTTCTCTGGATATGAATAAGTTTAAATTTTGGTTTAATTTCTTTGTCAGGTTTTCTATGAAGAGGAGTTGGATGTTCCATTGGTGCTCTTTGATGAAGTTCTGGAACATGTTTTGCGAATTGATCGTATCTTTAGACAACCACAAGGACATCTGCTGCTAATTGGTGTGTCTGGAGCTGGCAAGACAACGCTTTCCAGATTCGTGGCATGGATGAATGGATTGTCCATTTTCCAGATTAAGGTATTTTTTAGTTTATTTATTCGGTGTTGATTAAGGTGGTGTTTGGATTAAGGGCGTGCGAACCGCGGGTCTATTGTGCGAGTGTGTGTAGACTCAGTACTCACCTGGCACTCACACGGTGCCATGCACAATGATCAGCCAACAGCATGGACTCTACTGTTGGCTATATTCGTGCACAGCACGCTCGCACGCGCACCCCCCCCCCTCCGGGAGCTTGACGATGTATCCTGAGGGCTACTACAATAAAGGGCTGGAGGACCACCTCGTAAGAGCAGATGCTAGGATTGACCAAATAATAAATAAAGCAATGATATTAGCTTAAATATTAATTTAATGAATGAAGATAAAAAAGTGAGTGATAATGCCTGTTCGAAAATAATAAAATAAAACTTGTGGTCTAAGAAAGAAAAATGAAAAAACAAAACAATTATAAAACTACTATACTGTATACAAAATGCATGCCAGGCCAGAGCGGTGACTTGTTAATAAAGGAAAACTAAATCTAAAACTTAATTAGTAATTGACAAATAAGTCTATAAAATTGTTTGACAAGATCAAAATGACCAAAAGTTCATTTCCTAATGATCACAACAGTTCAATTCATTTAATGAAATTGCATGGCATTGCTTAGAATCATCTTGAACCTAATGAAACTGCTTGGCTCGGCACCTCGGAGGCAGAAACGGGTGCCTGTCATGTGCAGGTGCTGAAAACTTGTCCCAATTGTTGCCAGGGCGTAGATCTTGCTGCATAAAGGTCGATGCACACGTCGCAGTACACCTGTAAGTGAATGCTCCGTACTGCTGTAGTACGCTCTGAAGGATGCCACAATATCCTGTCCGAAACGTTAGCCACCCTGACATTGACGCGGCTCGTCCTGGATAGCCTAGACAACATATCTAATAGGAGATAATTATACAATAATTTTCATAAAAAAATAGCATTAAACACCTGCTTGGATATCGCTCTTTAGACAGAATACCTCAGTGTTCACCTTATACTCAGTTCATAAATCGGGCCTCTCACGACCTAGTTTCCTTTCCGCATGTCGCGGAATTTTCTAAGGTCGCAACGACCCTTGCGTTGCTCTGCTCCGGAAGAAGCGCAGTCTGCGAAAATCGGGACTACGGCACATGAAGCACCAATTGTTCCAGTGAAACGTTTGCCAGCCTGAAGACTCGTGAAGCAACTGGTTTCCAGCCTCTCGAATCCTGACAAAGCTCTGAAACAATAAACAATTCAATTTAGAGCAATGAATAAATCAATTCGAGACAGAGCCCTTTCTAGTCGGGATCTCTCTCTTATCTGAAACACGTGAAAAATATTCAAATAACTCACACACTTAAAGGTATAACGTATCCAATGTAGCATATTACAACTTAAAATTATGTAAAATTAAAACATCTCCTATATTCAATTAAAACATGTGAATAATTTTAAAAGTTAAGCCCAATATCCATGATTATTTAATGTGGCATTGGGCATGGTGAGAACGAAGACACAAAAGTGAGTGCTTAGTACCAAGAAGAAAGAACAAGATGAACGTGGCCTAAGGTCACGAGCGAGAAAACAAGTCCAAAAGCTCAGCGCGTTAACATAATAATACCGAATAGCATACGTAAGCTTCCGCGGCTCGAATGCATGAATTCTTGGCTATCCGGGAAACGCGCGTTGTTGGCGAAACGTCGGCACCCCAGCCAACGACACGGCGTCTCCCGGATAGCCGAGAATACAATAGCGAATAGCGCCAGCCAAACATAATGGCGAATAGCGCTAGTCAATCAATATGTGGCAAATAGCCACCGGCTTCAAGAGAGCCTACTTATATATACAATTAATATTACATGACAGAAGGCCAAAACAGTATGGAAAATGTCCAGCATACTGTCCGGAAAATGTGTGTGCGTGCCTTAAATTACATATTTTAACATGGCAGAGGGCCACTACACATGAGAATGTCTGCATGCATCAGCATGTTAGCACTGGAGCGAGCGGAGTGCTTGTTTATATAGAAAAATCCTGTACATAAATATCTTTCCGCTGTGACTAGTTGACATAGCGGAATTATCCTGCTACCAACGCAACCTGTGGTTTACAAATTACTAGCTGAAAAAGAAAAAAATAATCGATTATGGTGCGACAACCCCGCACTCTAGATATGAATGACTGATTTAGAAGTCTTATGACAGTATACAGAAAAATATTCAATTTTGGTGTAGAACAGGAAGATACAGTGTTATAAAAAAATTCTGACATTTACAATGATTCAGGGATGATTATTGATCACTTATAGCAAGCTAGGAAGCACACAAAGCTGGTAATTTGATTACCAAAAATATATTACCAGTTGGCAATTTAATTTATAATAATCACCCCTAAAATTCAAAATAAAATACAAAGAATGGTTTATAAATTAAATAAATTATACAGGTAATCTTAGAATTAACTATTGAACAAGTTCCAAACATTACCAAAGATGTAAGGCTCATATTTTGAACAGTAAAATTAATTCATGAGGTTAAAAAACATTATTCAGTTTTCATGCTTAAAAATCAATAAAAAATGCAATTCTGAAGAAAACCTAAGTGTGGCCACACTGTACAATATAGAATGCATGTCTGAATATTACCAGAAGCTCAGAAGAGCATGAACAAAGAATTCAGAATTCTCGTACCAGATTTTACACAAAAATAATATAATAAATTACATCACCTAATATTTCAGGTTCTTTGTACCTTTCTGAGATGGCAATAAGTACAATTAAATAAAAAAGATTCAGAAGCTGCAATTATTTAATAATGAAAACTGCAGAAAGCTGAGACAGAATTTTTTATACCTGAAATCTGACAGGCGGCAGCGGGTCAAAGCGACACTCTTGCACTAACGACAAAGGGCGGACGCTGCGCAGAGGAGGGAGGGCGGCATGGGCGATTTGAATACCATGGGCGTGTGTAAACAAAGGGATTAAAAAATGTAAACTTGCTGAGTATAGCACTAATTGTATGGAATATTTTCTGAATTAAGATTCCCAATCACAATGCTTTGGTTACTCTACTAATATTTTCAATATGAAAGTCCAAAAACTTTTGGCTGGAAGTCATGGTTTTGTTTTTTCACTTACATTGCCTGAAACCTTTTATAAGTAATTGGTTTAGAGGGACTGAATGAAATTGAATACAACTTGTGACCTGAAGCAGTAAAAAAACAAATCTTTACTAAATGGTTTTCTGATCACTGGCATGCACAGTGCTCGTAAACAACAAATAAAGTACCTGAAAATAATAATGGAATAATTAAGTATTTTATCAAATACTGCAGTAAGGTAGAACAAAATAAAATATGGTTCTTCTCATACCAAGAATATCAAAAAAGTTGCTGTTCCCTAACATAACAAGTAAATAGAAAATATTTAATAACATGGCCCCTTCCATGGATCCTTGCTGTCAGCTGTGACACGCTTGAGTATGAGAGTTCAGTCAATATGCAGTTTATGAGAATATGCAGAACAACACAATCAAGTAATATAAGTAATAATATTATTTTCAGTCTAAATCAAAACTGTTTCATAGTTTTGGGATTTTTGCCCGAGTTCCTAGGTACTATGAATTAGTATGATTTTTAAGTAGGCTTAAAATTTGAAGTACCAATTTCATATTAATTATTTCTAAGTGTTTGTATGAAGAACTTAATATTATTTACATATTTAGTTACGGTGATGTCATTCATATTATACAAGGTATGATCGAAAATATGGTAATTTTATTATAAACAAAGTAGCTTTCTTAGAATTTGAATTGATCTCCTTCAAAGTACAGACCTTGGGTAGCAATGCACTTGTCCCAAGTTACATTGTGCTAAATCTGACGAGTAAAGCAGATGTGAGCATTCAGGGACACTTTTCCAGTAGAAAAACTCGGGAAGCAAAGCGATGTGTGACATTGTCACAGTGAAGAAGGAAACCATTGGCTCATTTCCTTGGTCATTTCATTTGTCAAAAGGTTTTGCATAGTCCTTATGAGCAGTTATGTTCTTTTGTAAGGTCCCGAATAGTCAATTGTCTGTTTCAATGTAAAAGGTTTGCCACTTATTGCAAACATTTCACCTGTTATTGAGATCGAAGGACATCCTGACCTACACTTGTCTTCAACCAATTCGTTTTCTTCTAAATTGTTGATATCACTTGTGAACTGTCTTCAGAGTTACTACATTATTACCACACACTGATTTCAACATTTCGTTGAGTTTCTTTGGCACTTGTTTGCAACCAAATTTTGTGTTATTGCATTGCTTGAAATCCATGATGTGCAACACACACAAATCTCACTGTAGTAGCTCTGGAAGCTGATTGACGAGTCAGAACCTGTTCAAATTAAAACTGTCCATCTCAACGAATCAGGCACACGAAAATATTTGGTCATACCTTGACTTTTTTTTTTTTTTTTTTATCATACCTTGTATGTGTTTACAGTTTGTTTCATTGGTGTTAAAAAATTATATGTGATGAACATAAGTATTATTTTAGGATGTTTACAAGACTATTGATAATATATACTTAAGTTTGCTAGTAGAAGATAAAAATTTCTCTGTGAAAGGTAAAGCATTCTGTTCTTCAGCAATTCTATTTCTATCTTTATTTTTTTAGTACCTATGTTTCATTGAGCTTAATGGAAAAAAATTGTATTGAGCCCAGTGGCTTTGTTATATACTTTGTCTTTTCAGGTTCATAACAAATATACAGGAGAAGATTTTGATGAAGATCTGAGAGCTGTCTTGCGACGTGCTGGTTGCAAGGATGAGAAGATTGCATTTATTCTTGATGAATCGAATGTCCTGGATTCTGGATTCCTTGAGAGAATGAATACTCTTTTGGCCAATGGTGAAGTTCCTGGGCTGTTTGAAGGCACGTTGTAATTTTTTGTTATTGCAATTCATAATTCTGTTTGTTGGATCATAAGTGTTGTTTCTGAATTGTAAACCAAAAATACCACAATTTTTCGGTAAGGTGAACATTTTTTCCAACTGTTAGCTGCTAAAAAATGGATTGTACTATATATTTGCACATCGAATGAGATTTCTTCAAGAAATGTATGATGCACCATACTGTGTATAACATGTAAAGAAGCAATTTATGAACTACATTTCTAATTTTGTATTTAGTTTGAACAACTGAACCACTACTATATGTGTACGTACATTCTAACACACTAGTGTACTGAATTCAACAATGTAAATTTTTATAGACTTGTAGCAATAGAAGTCTTTGAAAGCTGGTGTAGTGATCTAAAATATTTTAAATGTAGATTTAACATATATGATTGCTTTATTTGGAAAAACTGAATTTTTAAATATTATTGTTCTGTAATAAAGAAATATGTGTAGACATTGTAGGGGAAAAACAAGGTGAAATCATCTCTTGCAGTCTGTTCCCATACTTGAGAGGAACATCTTGGGCCTCGAATGGCAGATTTTAGATTACTTTAAGGCCATCCTTTCTTGTGAATCTGCTGTAATGGAAATGTGTGTGTGCACAGGGGATGAGTACACGACCTTAATGACCCAATGCAAAGAAGGCGCCCAGCGGGAGGGGCTGATGCTGGACTCCAATGAGGAACTGTACAAGTGGTTCACCGGGCAGGTCATGCGTAACTTGCATGTTGTGTTCACTATGAACCCTTCTTCGGAGGGACTCAAGGACAGGGCTGCCACCTCTCCTGCCCTCTTCAACAGATGTGTGCTGAACTGGTTTGGTGACTGGTCTGATGGCGCTCTATTCCAGGTATGTATTGTGTGCACATTCTGAATTAAAATTTATGAAGTTATAGTTACTAACATATATTAAATTATTTATTAATCATTTCATCAGACAGTGCTTATAAACAGTATTAAAATTTGTTCAAAGAACTTTAATTCTGACTGGAATTCAAACTTGGGTCTCCTGGTTTACGTTGCTTTAACCACTAAGATTCCGAGACAACCAATTCTTTAGACAGGTTCTTAGGCCTGATGTATTGCCTCTTATTATATATAATTGTCACCACTCTGATACCTTCTTGGATGTGTTTACGCTCAGAAATATGTATCACAGATGTAAAGAATTCCAAATTGTGATCTTGTTACTGAGTAACAATGTATTTTAATTAATAAATTCCATCAAAGATTTATCTCCCCGACCGGACATTGAACCAGAGTGTAAACATGTTCAAAAAGGTGACAGGGTGATGACAATTATATATAATAACTGGCAATACATCATGTCTAAGAACCTGTTAAAAGAGTTGGTTGTCTCGGTATCTTAGTGGTTAGAGTAACTGGGTGTAAATCGGGAGACCTGGGTTGAAATCCCAGCCGGGGTGACAATTCTTTAAACAAATTTATTTATGAAAATACATTTGTTACTCGGTAACAAGGTCACAACAAGGTATTCTTTACGTCTGTGGAACATATATCGGAGCGTAAACATGTCCAAAAAGGAGATAGGGTGGTGTCAATTAAGTATTGTTAGCATTTATTTATTCAAGTGTTAATTGTAAATCATTTTAAAAATATGAACATAACTGTATATAAAATAAGATGCGCAATTATGAAAACACAAAGTGTAAGTCTCAGGCCAATGGAGGAGGGGGACTTACAGTGGACCCCAGCATAATTTTGTTTCCTCCACCATTGTTCAAAGAGTTATTGTTTTAATAAATAGAACTTTCATTATTAGAACCATTGTATTAACCTTAAGGATAGAAATAATAAATGTGAATTCAAATTAAATAAAGAAATAAATAAGTACCTTAATATATATCACGTAGTTCACATATAAGGTAATGAACCAGTATTTTGTTTTTTATTTTCAATTGACTGGTTGAAGATAATTACCTAACAGGATTTAAGAGGGTGATTAGTTCGCTCAAGAATAGTTTGCCACAGTAGTGTAATCACAGTTCACAGATTAAGTTTTAAAATTTTTGAAGTAGAGCAGAGAATAGAGTTAGAAACATAAGTTTTGGTTGTAGGTCGGTCGTGAGTTCACTAGTCGGGTGGACCTTGACCGTCCACATTGGAAAGCACCTGACTTCTTCCCAGCTGCCTATTCAGGCCTGCCTCCACAGCCAACGCATAGGGATGCAGTCATTAACGCAGCTGTGTATGTGCACCAGACACTGCACAAAGCAAATGCACGTCTTGCCAAAAGAGGCGGCTGCACTATGGCCATCACTCCAAGGTTAATATGAAAAACCCAATGTAAAATATTGTGTGTAGTTTTATATCATTTGCTCATAGTTTGCATATTGTAATAACATTTGTTTTGACAAATTAATCAATTTGTTTCGATTAACCATAATTAAATCAACATTAATTTTATTTACTAGGGTCTAAAATAGGTAGGGTCACTGTCTCTGTCGGGTGTAGAATAGAACATTATTAGATCTAAAATTCTGTGTAGATATTTTCCACAAAACAATAGATAGTAAATATGGGCATTCAACATTATTATGTGAAACCATTGTTTTGCTTTTAAGTCAATTATATTTTTGTCGTTAAAGTTTCGGTGTTATGTCAATTATATTTTTTTTTGTGTAGCATTTGTGATTTTTCTTCTATCGTATCTGCAAGGATGCAAATATCTGATTACTTTTTTGGTTAGTTATTAATGTATATGTAGAAAAAGCAATTGCTACATTAACTTTGAAGGATTAGGTTGATCTGAGTTAATGACTAAAGAATTCTATTAATTAAGCTCCATAAAACCTAAAATTATTGAGACAATAAAGTCTTAAATTAAGTTCTCTTAAATCATGGTTCTGAATATGTGTGTTACCGCTTTTTCAGACATTACCTTGATTTCATTCACCATTTTGTGAAACTGTACAATGAGAAGCGCTCAGATCTAGAAGAGCAGCAATTGCATTTGAATGTAGGTCTCAACAAAATTGCTGAGACTGTTGAGCAAGTTGAGGAAATGCAAAAGTCTCTAGCAGTAAAATCTCAGGTAGGTAATTAATTGATATATTGCTCAAGCTAAGTGTATTTATTTATTTTCGTTCATCTATATCTTGGTAGTAGTCTATCAATACTAATTGATCAAACATCCCAAAATCTGTTGTTTTCTTTATTCTATGTGTTAACACATTTTCCTTTTATCCTCAATCCTTATTTCTATTGTTAGCTGTAAATATTGATATTTTAGTTTTACTATGTGTATTTTGCTGTTTAGTCTGTTATAATGAAAGTGTGTAGTACCTTAGAAATTCATATGTGCATTTTGTTGATAGGAACTGCAAGCAAAGAACGAAGCTGCCAATGCCAAGCTGCGCCAGATGGTGAAAGATCAACAAGAAGCAGAGAAGAAGAAAGTGCAGTCGCAGGAGATCCAGGCGGAACTGGAGGTGCAAGAAGTGAAGATAGCGCAGAAACGGGAAGATGTGATGGCTGACTTGGCTCAGGTTGAACCTGCTGTGATAGATGCCCAACAAGGTGAGTATGTGTACTAGTGTACATTGCGTGAAAGAAAATTTGGTTTATTGAGAGATTTAAATCATGTATTACTCGTATATGACCACACATGATGAGCAATATCTGACTTTAACAGACATTGCTTGTCATTTATTTTGGGCAGTATGGCCAACACTTGTCAAAAATAGAAATAGAAATTTGATTTAAAATAATTAAATAAAATCTTTCTTGAGAATAAAACTGTAAAATTATGGATTGTTCTATAATTTTGCTGGAAAAAGTGTGGAGGAAGCGCTAATATTTGTCTAAATTTCTTGTTTATTTCACTTTGTTTCCTTGTCTGTATTTGAGTAGTTATAGTAATTTGTACCATCAACTACTATAAATCAGTGTTTTGACAGAATTAAAATGAAAATAATGGTAAAAAAGAACTGATAATTACAGGGAGTAGTTTTACTCATTTCTGCAAAATACTTTGTGAGAGATAATTTTCCCTTAAGGAGTAAGTTTTCATATGCTTCCTTAATTATTTGACCTGAAAATGGTGCAAATACGTCTTTGCCAAATCCATTGCCAAAGTATATGTTAATATACTGTATCTTTCATTGGATTTTCAATTACAATTTCTTGGATTTGAATTATTATGAAAAAAAAAAAAAATTATCTACACAAAATTGTATGAACAAGTTTTTTTCAGTGTTTGTTTTGAGTGTTGCATGAAGGAAAAACTCACATTCATGGAAGATGATCCATGCATTTTTCTGTTCATGTGTAAGGAAAAGTTACTGATATTCATACTAATGATTGTTTACACCAGTAAAAGTGGCAATGAATTTTACTTGCTGAATAAACCTCTCTCTATTTCTTTGTATGAAATCTAATTATGATGAATTCAGCAACATATATTGACTAAAACAATCTACTCTAGTTAAAATCTGACATGAAAGAAAAATGCACTAATATTGATGTTATTGTTGCTTTGTATTGTACACGTGTGAATCTGTGTGTGTGTGTGTGTACACATATATCCAGCTGTGAAGTCTATCAAGAAACAGCACCTAGTGGAGGTGCGGTCAATGGCAAATCCTCCAGCTGTTGTGAAGTTAGCCCTGGAGTCGATCTGCCTTCTTCTGGGTGAAAGCGCCACTGATTGGCGTGCCATTCGCTCGGTCACCATGAGGGAGAATTTCATCTCGACAATAGTAAACTTCAACACTGAAGACATGACGTAAGGGGTTGCTTTGTGATGGTGTGAATGCATGGGAAATGCTTGCTTTTGGGTTTCCAGCATGAACTAAAACTTGATACCTTGGGTATTGTATATAGAAAATATAGAAATATGCAGAAGAAATTACTAATACTTTGAACTTAACTTGCTGTGATTCAATAGTTGAGTGAAGTTTGTAACAAGTGTAAATGAAAACCAGATATTTACTTCACACAAAGAAGTTAGTATTCAGTGGTAGGTAATTTCTTTCAAGTTAATGGTTCACATATTGTTTTTTTTATATATTTATTTTATGAAATGAATTAGGAATAATTCCATAATTTCATGCTAACTGCTATTCTAAACCTCTGGACCTGGTTTGCTGTGGAACTTCTATTATTAAATTTGGATTCATTTTATGACAGTATTTTTCCACTCCCCAGTCTCAAGAGAAGAGGAAACTAACCAGTACTAAGACAGTGTGCCATTATGTAAAACCACTCCTTAAACTAGGGCATCAAGTCAAGTTCCTTGTTTTATAGAAAATTGTGTTAATATGATTATTGCACATAATCATCTTCTGGAAAGTTTTTGTTTCTGAAGTTGTATACACATTGTATAATGCCATGCGGACGAGATAGATTGAGTTGCCATAGTAATAGGATCCACTATAGGTTCCTGTCCCATTGTTAAACAAAAATTCATGGTCCTTGAATACTAGTATCTTAAAACCTTCGACAAATAACTATGATGATTATTGTGCAATAACTTCATGATTTTAAAATGGTTGTCTATAAAACAAGGGACTTCGCATGATGTCATCACTCAACATCTATTATTTCATGTAATATATTTTCAGAGGTCTTTGGTGCTGGTATTTGGTTTTCATTTGTACCTTGTACTTACTCTGCATGGAGTTTTTCTCTAATTATAAACTCTTCCAGGTATCCACAAGTTGAGAGTCTGATTAATACGATTAGAGATATAACTTGCATTTGTATTGCTTTCATGTTATTGATTATTATCTCTAAAAAAATTTCTAAGCCCACCTAAGAGTACCACCTGAGCATAAATTGTGCACTGTTCTAAAAGGCACGTTTTTACTTGTGTGAAAATACTATAGTTCAAAACATCTAGCTTTGTTCACAATTACGTATTGTCACAGCAATTCTTGGTTCTCAGTACAATAATAAACTAATGTGGGATATTAATTAATGAAGAAAGGAAATATTTGGTGAACTACTTCACATTTCATGAAAGGTTTTAGCTGCAGATCATTAAGAAGTTTCTAATTTTTATTAGAAATTGGTCATGACTAATTTGTTGTGAAATGTTGTACAATTTCATTAGAACCTTCTGTAGTTTTTATTCATTTTTATTATTGGTTTTATTTGTAATGTGACAATTTAATATTGTAGCTTTTAGGTGAAAGTTAATATTTTATTGTCACAATAGTCTAGTAGAAATGTAGTGACTGCTCTAACTATTGCCGTCTCTCTTTCTCCCTCTTCTAGCACTTCAGAAGATGTCTTTGTTCTGAATTTAGAAGTGAATGCAGCATTCTCCTCTTTAACACAGCTTCTCATGACCTCATTTCTTTAACCTTATGCTACTGCTTGATGCTTCAGCTGTCAAGTCAATTCGCCGGCAACACTTGGTTGAGGTTCGCACGATGGCCAATCCTCCGGTGCTCGTCAAACTTGCCTTGGAGCCCATCTGTTTGCTCTTGGGGGAAAACGCCAATGATTGGAAGAGCATACGAGCTGTGTTAATGAAGGACAACTTTATCAATATGATTGTTAATTTCAATACGGATGATATTACGTAAGCATGCGTATAGAACCTTACCGTAGACGACTGTGGAATGCTTAATTTTATTCATGGAGGTTCTTGAGGTTTTTGGACCCATTGAACTTGCTTAACTTATATGAATTCACAGGAAACTCTTCAAGAAAATGAGTTCTTCCCAGACTCAAATGTGTTAAATAAGAACAAACTTAGTAAAACAAGTTAGGGTTGTATTAAATTATTTTAATAAGAAGTAATATATAGACTATGCTTGTTTTCTGAAGTACTTCGGTTTTTGTTGTTGTTTTTTTCCTTAAACTAAGGCAGTTCATTTTCTACCTAAATAATAGCTTTTAATATGCATTTCTTGTTTTAATGAACCTTGCTTTATCTATCATTTTCAAAATGTTCTTTTTTTCGAAACCTTGTTCTTATCTCAAGAATCTCACATGTATGCTAAATTCTCGTAGTTACAGTTATCACATCTGCCACTTTAATTTTATCAATGGCACAAGTATCCCTACATAATGGTTAATTAAGTTTAATGAAAATATCTTTATTTATATGCTATCCCAAATCAGTTGTAAAATAGACATTTTATGCGTTTTTGAAAAATCTTAAATTCTCTTACAAGAGTTCTAAAAGGAAATGACATTTTTATGTAAAAATATTTACGTTTAAAGAAGTAAGTGATTAATTTGTTATGCATTTTTATATTTCTACATTTCACAAAACTCAAATCCCATATCAGTGGTGATGCATGAACTTCCACTTCCAGCATCAGACACCTAGCAGTATTTTATTCTCCATGAGAGGTCGTGAACATTGGGCAAATGCACTTTGAGTAGAGGAACAAATCTAAGTGATTTCTCTCTGACCTCTCAATTCACTGTCATTGTATCTGGAATATTGTTTCATTATTTGTTTTGAAAATTGCTTTCTTCTATTGCATTGAAAGCAATATCATTAGTGAAGATTTAAATTTTATAAAGTATGGTTATTTAGTATCATAATTCTTTTGCTTCAAGAGATTGTTTTGCTGTTATTAGTTTATTATAACATGTTATTTACATAGGGATAAATGTGTATACTAAAATATTGACTTCAGCTTTTTAGTCCTCAAGGCAGAACATGCTTGCACAAACCAAGTAATGGGATCTTAGAAGTAGATACAACTTGAGTTTGATGTCATGGGCTTGTGAGGCCAGATCTGTGCAAATGCCCTTGGCTGTTCAAGTGATACAGCTTTGAAGAAAGTGAAGACTGCAACGTAGTGGTCAAAATATTGTCACCCAGACAGCCAAGAGCATTTGCACAAGTTCAAATTGTTGTGGCAGAGGTGATAGCAAATTCATAATCTAGACCGTACCTGCATTATTGTAAGTTACAGTTTTGCATGTTTTATCACACGTTTTTAGAGTAAATTACTTAGTACTTATGTTAGTATAATCTTCAGTGAATGGTATAGTTTTTCTTCGGTGAAAAATGTTTTTGGTTCTTGTAGTCATGTTGAAATTTGTCTGAAAATTTGGGCTTAGATATAGCTATAGTCTTTTGCTTTGTGGTGTATGTGTGTGATGAAGATAAACGATTCTCTTAGTCACATTAAAGATTATTGTTCTTCAGTTGATTACATCTGCCATTTTTGAGTGGAAATGAGCCGAGTTAAAATGTGAAACAGTTTCATCCAATTTTCTTTTTTGAAAATATTGATAGTTAGAATGCAATTAATTTCTCAGTAAAAATTGGCACAGATACTTTCTTTTAGAAAAATTGTAAATAAAAGTAAGGTATGTGGGTGTTCTTTCCTGCATGTTCTCTCCCAAATTAAAGTAGTTTGACATCCTTTTAACAAGAGATTAAAATTTTCCTTCCAGTACTGACCTTCAACATTTGACAATTGTGTATGTGCTCTGTAGAACCAGAAATTCAGAAATTGTTTCCTTTCTTTCTGTCTTCTTTTTTTGATGCAACAGAAAAAAGTCTGAAAGAATATTTTATTATGTTTTTTGAGTTGAAAGAATTATTGTTTTAATAATCTGGAAATTTCAACTTCATTTTTGCGCGTGGCAATGGTGTAATGGTTAGCGTATTGGACTGGTGTACCCAAGTTGGGGGGTTCAAACCCGATCGAAGCCATGGAGTTTTAAGGGTGAAAAAGTCCTTCGTACACTTCCCTTCGGAGCGGAAGTAAAGCCGGCTGCCCCATGTTAGTAGATTTACTTGCATGTAAAAGATCCTCAAGCCTAAATGATGGCTCTGAGCTAAATTCAAAACTCTCCTTTTTCTCGCCCAAGAAATACCTCCTTCCTCTGGTAGTTGATGAAAGGAGCGTAGCGAAATTTGCATGGTCAGACGGAAGTGCGGGCCTGATGGTCCGAGTCTCGCCACGTAAAATAAGGCATTAATTCAATTCAATAATTCAATTAAAGTTCCTTTATTGGATAATGTGAAGAATTGTCATCAGGTTTGGAATCTATTTTTCAATGGTTAACTCCACCCACTATATAATTAAGTTATGTTAAGAAGGGTGAAATACTCTACTTATGAAGTGCTCTGCTAAATATTCAGAAAGTCATTTCCAAAGTGTTTTCAGTCACCATCAGTAGTAAGGCGTTATTGGTTTGTGTGTGTGGACACACACTCACACACACTCACACACACTCTCACACACTCTCACACACTCTCACACACACTCACACACACAAACAAACAAACAAACAAACAAACAAACAAACAAAAACAAAAACAAAATATATTTTTTCAAACTGTACTTAAGGGTTGCTCCAGAATTTTAGTTATATTGCATGTTGGCATAATGGTTTGGTTTGAAGTGCATACTTAGCCTGGCATAAGGGTATTTCCTTAGTGTTTCCCAGTATTATCCACCCCCATAATGTATTATACCTATTTGACAGATCCATTGAAAACAGTGTTAAGGTTTTTCTTTTTTTTCTCCTTATTACTTCTTTTTTTTTTTTTTTTTATAAATATGAATTATAATTGTTTAAGCTTGTTTGGCAAACCCTTTTAAAATATGTGTTGCAAAATAAAATTATTTTTGAGTTTAATTTACATATAATCTTTGTTATGATACATTATAAAGTGCAATATATCGTTTAAAATTGGATGTAGCGTGCCATAGGATTATATTTCTGTTTGTTCTCTTCAATTATGTAATGCAGAAATAGGTGTTGTGTTGCAAGGAAAAATAACTTCTATAACTGAAATTTATTGGTTGGTAATTGTACTTGAAAATTATGTTATGTTGAAATAGGAAAATGGAAATCATGAATATGTTCCAGAGAAAACCTGGCAAACTTGTTCATTGAAAGTTAATTTAGAAATACTTTTAGTCAAACTTTCAAAATTTGTTTTTATTAAGAAAATGGATTTTAAATTTTTCTACCCTTTTGTTTCCATTTATTTATCACAAATGAAATTTTGACTAATTTTACTAGTAATTAATTTGCCTACACAAAATTCTTTCGTAAAAGAAATTAAAACATTCATGACCATAGTTCAAAACTTGGTATTACCATTGGCTAGGGCAGAGACAGAATTTTCATCTGTGAACAAAGGGAAGAAAGAATCAAAAACATATTATTTTCTTTTTTACAACTTAAAAATTTTACAAACCATGTTCTTTTAATGTAATTAAATTAACAAATTTTTTGAGATTGGAAGTCTCGGACGATTTTCTGAATCTGAATATCTTAAATACTTCATTTTTATATTCTTCCTCCTTTTCCGAAACATGTATTCTCAATAAGTATAATCTGTTGACATTCTTTTCTCATTGTTGACCTTAGTCATGTTTTTACCCTAAGCAAAGTTTTGCTCTAAAAGGGGTGCATGGTAGTGCAATTAATTTTGGGAAAAGTGTGGAGTACACTTGGATGTATTTTGTATTAAAGAGGATAGTTCTTCCCCTCCTTCCCTTCCCCCTTGTCTGTGGTTGTATCAAGAATGTTGACAGTAATTGCTGCATGAGAAACTAAAAAACAAAAACAAAAAATGCTTATGAACCTCTGTTTCTTCTGACATCTCTTACTAGTTCCTAATGGTTCTCAGTTCCAGCATGATCCCCTATTTGCCTACTTGTATACAGCTTCTTGTGATTCATGTGATAAAGTTGTCCTGTTCTCAGTAATAATTTTTCAATCTTCAGGGGATGATTTTAAAATTAAATTCGTGTATTCTAAATTTTTTCTGCTCAGGGCATTTAATAATAATTTGCTGCTTAGCTTACTGCAGTTGCGGTATCATGTACTCTGCAAATTTTATAGCCATTTCGCATCATTTTTTACTTCTTCTCTTGTATTCGAAGTTGTATTATTAATATTTTTTAAATATAATACACATTTTATTTTATTACACTTAATTGGTGATTAATCATTTAGTAGATCATTAGTTTCTTTTGAGCTTCACCATATTTGTATAAGAATAGCTAGGGTATTTTGTTTGTTTTGTTTTTTCTTTCAATTTTATTCATTTAAAAAATACAATTTATTATTTTAATCTATGTATGTGGCAGGGCACATTCCTACTCAAGATTTTTGTTTTTTCACAGTTCTGTAAAAAGTACTGTACAGTAATTAATAATATTCAAATCTTTGCCAAATAAATAGATTCTTAATGAGTTATAGTGCAGTATCTTTCTTGGTGGATATTTTTTCATTTGAAAACAGAAATGTGCAATCACCAAGAGTATGAGAATGATTCTTGGAAATACGTTGCAGGACATAAATTGTGAACCCTCGTCAGTATAATGAATGAAACAATGGTTTACTCACCAGTGTATTAAATAATTTTTAATGCCTGATTATAAAGTGGTAATTATATTTATCTGCAAACATTTTTATAAGTAGAGCATAGTTTAAAATTTGGAGTAGTATGCTTAGATTGCCCCTTACCGTGCAATAAATAAAATTGATAATTAAAAATCCCATACAATTTATTCATAGATTTATATTCATTGTAAATTAATAAAAATCAAATAATTAGCTCCAATGTAAGTAAAGGTCAGTACATCCCTGAACTAGATGTCAGAAGATATGATTTTGCTTTTAACATAATTTTCACCCCACTTTGCACTTGCTCATGCTGAATGCTATAAGTTCACAAAAGAAATGTTTATAGCACAGGCATAAGAGAAAAACAGATATGTTATGAAACATTACATTTTTTGTAATTCATTTCCCTCGTAACCCTCTTAGTGTATAATACTATTCATATTCTTGCACTCTGAGAATTGGTCGTGGGAATGCCATGCACATTTCTGTTGGAAAACATTTTGTTCACATTGATCATGCAGGAACTTGAACATTTAATGAAGCGTAGCTTAGAGCTGTGATTGGAAAAATTCATTGAAACATGAATGAAATAGCTTGTTCCTATGTTCCATTAGCGATGATGTTCGTGAAAAAATGAAGATGCGCTATCTGAGCAATCCTGATTACAATTTTGAGAAAGTGAACAGAGCAAGTATGGCTTGTGGACCTATGGTGAAGTGGGCTACAGCACAGGTGAGCACAAAACTTTTGGTGGTGTTTTATTCTTTCTGCATTCCAGAAAAAAAATATTCATAGTTGTGAATGAGTTAACAATGTTATCAGTAGACAAACACGCTCTAAAATACCTTTATTTTGATGCCTAAAATAGGCCGTAATGGTGAAAACGTGCCATACAACACGTAAAAATACATCCCCTTTCAACAATAGGTGAGAGGATAGTGAGCCATAGCTGGAGTCAAGCGCAGCTTTGAATACTTAAATTAGTTTTAGGCATACAGTATGTTTAAAACATATCATTATGTAAGGAGGAGCTACATTCATCAATCAAACCTTGCTTTTCTTCGTTGCAAAACGGATCCTAAAGTGATTCTAATTAATTTCGTCAATATTAATTATTATAAAGTTGACCTAAAAACGGTCTGTTATTACTATTATTACTTAATAGACATGTTGCATAAGATTATAGACAACCAACATTAAAACAAAACAGTAATTTTTCAAATTAATTAAGACACTTATTTTAAATATTCTAACAATTCATAATAAACTTTCAAAAGAATATACAAGCCAAAAGACGGAAGATCATGTTGTTTCGAATCGTTCCTACATATTGATTGGGTATTAGAAAGAATGTTAAATAATTTTAAAAATTAGTTTTGTTTTCATGTTAGCTATCTATAAGCCTGTGGAACATGTCAATTAAATAATAAAATGAATAATTGTTACATTGCTGTATGAACAGGCTATTCAATTTTTCTTTATCAGAATGCATTGATTTGCAGAAGTGTTTTATTATTTTGTGATAAACGTTCTGTGTGATGACTCGAACACTAATAGAATCCTTAAAGAGTATTACCATCAACAGTGAATGATAATATTTAATTAAATTTTAATTTTCTCAATTTATGAACAGTATGCAAATTTGAAACAAACTCCCTGATTGGATAGTGTTGAATTCATTAGCAATTGGCATTAATTTTTATCTACTTTAAATTATTTATTCAAAAATGACACTTGTCTGCGTCAGGCATTTAGGGAATAAAAACTTATTTTAAAGTAATATATTTTAAAGTTCTGAAGTAGAAAGACTCTTAGATGTGGTGTTCATTAGAATATAATAATGTACTATGTGACAGATCAACTATGCTGACATGCTGAAGCGCGTTGAGCCATTGCGTGAAGAGTTGAGCTCTCTGGAAAGGCAGGCAGATGAGAACAAGGCGCGAGGACAGGAGGTGACCAGCCTCATTGCACAGTTGGAGCAGAGCATTGCTGCCTACAAGGAAGAATATGCACAGCTCATCTCGCAGGCGCAAGCCATTAAGACCGACTTGGAAAATGTGCAAGCAAAGGTAAAGATTGCCTTCAGTGTTTTTAGGGACTTGGGAACTAGGAGTACTATGCTCGGAGAAAATGCTTACTTTCTTTGGTCTTCATAAATGTGACATCAAAAGTTAACACACACGCGCAACACACACACACTCACTCTCTCTCACTATCTCTCTCTCACTATCTCTCTCTCTCACTATCTCTCTCTCTCACTATCTCT